CTTGTAGAAATAGGGTATAATATGTCTCCTTTAATTGTCATTATAAACAAACTTTTAGGTTGCTATCCGTATTCACAAGGTACCACATATGATTTAAAACTAACTTGGATTTCCACAATTTATTTCATTGATTACCGTAAAAATATGTGATGCACTGTCATCACCTTACACTGTTTCCACTAAGTGCTAATTGCATTCCAACAATTACACAAAGGATGATAAATGAATTTATATGATGCAAAACACTGCAATATACCACTACAAAGGCTCTAAATAAGGAATAATAACCTTACCCTTGTTCATTGTACACTCCCATGGTTTATCTCCTCAGTAGTCTGCAGTCAAGATTAGTGCTTCTGCCTCAAAGCAGCCCTCGTGTCAATCAGGTCTCTGGCCTCCTGTGCTCTATCAGAACACACCGTTCTTATCCCTGTGGTCTTAAACTACTGGCTGTCACATCCTTCTGCTCTTAAGGACATTGGACTTGACCGATCCAAGGAGTAGAACCTCCTCCCCTTAGCAACCCCCCACACAACTTCCCCAAGTGATTCATCCCACATCCCTGCAGCTTGAAACTTAAGCCTCCTCTACACACCCTGGTTTGAGGTTCCTTTTGACAACTGTCATGCCAAAGGAATTGTTGACATGATCTTAATTCTAGGTTCAGATGAGAGTCTATCACTGTCCTGTAAGTTACTGTTTCATTTAGACCAGAGACAGGCAGCCATGTGTGGTGGAGGGTCAAAAGATTGAGGTTTTCCTAACCAGCACTAATGTTGTGCAGGTTTTCACCTCCGTTTTTATGTGAATGCACTGTAGGCGTTGGCGCCAACATTAGTCTTTCACATTTTCACCACAGGGGTCCAGATATCAGTCACTGTCTGACCTCCCTCCTGTCAGCTCCCTCCTGCAAGTCTCTCATCCGCTCCATCACATCTTTCGTTTCTCTGAAGTCTGCGTGACTACCTATGCTCCAGAATGCTTATTTGTGTCCAGTGGAAACACCTCAGATGGTGAAATGATTCATCTCATGTAGGTCAAGGAAGATAGGTCAAAATGCAAATTCTATGCAGTCACTGCTGTTCTGCTGTCAGTACATGGCTTCCACCGGGCTGATTAACAAATCATGTTTGACGCATTAGCATTCTACAGATGACTCAGATATACAAATACTGCTCAACAGTGTATAGAGCAGTTGAAATTATCTCCGCTTCAACCAATTGCATTACAGTAATGCACCACAATGTATATGATATAATGAATAATGTAAATCATGAATAATGTAATGAGTAACTTAACAGTGTGGTATTGCTACTTTTACTCAAATAAATTATCTGAATAAGTCATCTTCCACTGGTTAAAGCTGTTTTAAAGTCACCAATAAGAATTGGAATTTTTGACTTGACCTTGACTTTTTTTCGTGGTGCCTGTATTTTTTCTCCTTTTCACCCTTTACAAGTTTAGTTTTTAAAAAGTATTCCTCAAAATTGTGAGGTGCTGAACTGTAATGAACATATTTCACTTGTTCTGCATGATACTAGATAGATAGATAGATA